TGTGTGTGTGTGTGTGTTTACAGTATGTGTGTAACTGATGCTGTTTTTTGTTTGTGTTTTTTTTCACTTAACACTTGATTTGACTTCACTTTAATAAAGTTCATTTAAATTATTTTAACACTGAATAATAAATCATTTAGTTTTTAATTCACAATTATTTGATGTGAAGTTTTACAGTTTTTATAACAAAAATCCATCCATCATCAAACTAAGGTTTTTATTCACTAACGATAAAGTCTTAAATTCTCTTTTTTTATTTTATAAAAATCCAATTTGACTTCATCAGCGTCTTTACTCTGACTTCTGTTTTGACAACGCAGGTCATTCAAACTCATTAAAAGGTCTCTTGAGTTCAACTGGGGAAAAAAAATCAATAACATTTCATATGTAATTTACCGCCAAAAATGTCACATTAATTTTATAAATAAATGAATAAAACACACACACATAAAACACTGGTATAATCACCGAAATAATTAAAACGTTTTTATCTCAAATTGAAAGAAAAGATGTGTGTGTGTGTGTGTGTGTGTTTGTTAATAGTGTCTCAGTGGGATCTCATGTCCACAGGGTCTGGAGTGAAGCGGCTAATTAAAAGCTCTTGTTTTCCCTCAGAGACACATTAGCCTCCATTTATAAACACACACACACAGAGCGTAAGTATGTGTGTGTGTGTTTTATGAACCAATCACAAACAGAGTTTGATGTGACACAGTTGGTCACTAATGCAAACGCTAAACTACGCCTCATGTCACCTGCGTGAAGGTAACCACAAGCATCACCGCATGACTGTGACTGCAGGCTGGCGTGTGTGTGTGTGCACGTGTGTGTGTGTGCACGTGTGTGTGTGTGTGTGCAGGGGCAGAAGGTTTCCCACAGAAAACACTAGCAGAGGAGGAAGAGAACCCTTCTCCGTCACATACAAAACACTCTTTGTGGGCCAGTGTGTCATTCTGTGTGCGTGCGTGTGTGTGTGACATCACCGACTACATCATCAGCTGTCAGCATTTTAAAAAGGCAGACACCACAGAAGAAGAAGGAGGAGAGGACGGCGACAACTATTTTAATAAACTGAGTCGATTCTTTTAAATACTGACACTGAGTCACTGCTCAGGTGACCATCCATCACTGACTTTAAAACAAAACGCCCGTCACAAGATGGATGACATCACAGGATGGATGACATCACAGACAGTAAGAGGAACTCCTCCTCCACCTTATCAGCGGCGTATCTTCTCTTCATGCTGACTGATCAGTTCATCAGTCAACTAAAGAGATGCTGCGTCACATGACTTCATCTGCCCGTTTACAGGGAGATTAACACTGAGAACCGACATGTCCATCTTAAAGTGTCAGTCCAAGAGAGAGAGAGAGAGAGAGAGAGATGGAGACGGTCAGAGAGAGAGAGACAGAGAGATCTGCTCCTGTCGCCGAAGGCTCAGCTCGGCCTCAGTGTTGAATTTCGTAATGGAATGCTAACTGCTCATTCGGATCTCTCCTCCTCCTCCTCCTCCTGACAACAGCAGCAGCAGGAGCAGAGGACCACAGATGACAGCAACAAGTTCCTCATTTCCTTGAAAACTTTTTTAAAACTTAGAAAATGTAAACAGAGCTGAGATGATGGAATGAACAACTAAAGGGGAAGGACTAACACGATGCTAATGAGAAAAAATGAACTAATGTAGCTAAAAAAAAAACCCATGTACCTGTCCACACACAAGCCATGAAACATGACACCACTGCTACAAAAAAAAAATCTGATTCACTGCACATGATCTGGAGCGTTATTAAGAAAGAAGTTTGATTTGACGTTTGTTATTACACACAACAAAATGAGTCCTCTGCAGTTAGCCATCCATAAAACAGGAGCAGTGGGCTGTACTTGACTGTGCTCGGGGAGCGGGGGAGTTTTTCTGGTACTTGTTCAACACACCACAGCCCCGCTGCTCACGGGATCCTCCAATCACAAGCCAGTTTCTGTAAGCACTAGGCCAGAGGCCGTCTGAATGGCCAAAAGGATGACATAGAGTCACAACTGCAGATAAAAAAAAAATTAAAAAAAAAAACGCTTTTATATCTTGATAACAACAAGAAAACTACAGCGGGGGTCTTAGTCGCATCTGTTAATGCAAATTAATACTAATAAAGAACAACAAACTAACAAATCAAGAGGATTAAAAACAGAAGAAGAAGAAAAACTAATTCACTCAAGCAAACAGACAGCTTCACCCTCTAAATGCCTCATCAGTTTAAAACCAAAAGCTACCGATTCAACAACATGGCAGCACAACATGGCCGCCTCCATGAGACGAGGCCCTTTAATCACGAAGAGAAGATGAGTTTCCTGACGCCGGGGTAAACATCTCTCACGCAGCTACAGCCTTCGGCCCATCAACTCAAGGGTTCTCCCCTGACTCCCTATTGTGCCTTCACTTATCATAATAAAACAAATAGCTGCACCCCTCCCTGAGTGCTCACATTCAGGACACTGCACCTCTTCTCACCTTGTCTTCAGCCATGATCAAAAAAAAAATGAAGGGCTGTGTGAAGGACAAACCCACGGTTGGAAGACAAAAGTGCGTGGTGTTGATGTGTTGTCACAGATGACCAGGAAGATGAGATAAAAATAAACACGTTCACTTGACACTTCATACTGAAGCCAGTCAGAGATGTTTAAATACCTGTGCATTGGAAATATGAAAAAAAAGTAAAGTGTTTTCGTGTTTTGCTTTCTGTGCTACTAGGGCTGTAAAACAGAATCTATTTTTATAGAATTTCATAGAAACTCATAGAGAAGTTTTAAAAAAAACAGAGTCGAACTAACTTTTTTTCGCAGTTCCTCATCAGTAGAGAGGAGGTAGAGAGACATAGAGCTAACATGGAGAGAGATGGGAGGAGAGAAATAGAGAGAGAGAGAGCATCCATGATCTCACCAGCTGAGCCCGGAGTCTGAGCAGCTGCAGCCCGGCACTGACGCTCACTTTTCGAGGAGTCTAGATTCCTCCAGCCCTGCTCCTGCTCCTCCTCTAGCTTCACCTCCAGCCCTGGCTGCGGCTCCTGCTCTCTGCTCCGCTTCTGTCCGTCAATCATTGACGGAGCTCAGTGATAAAAAAAAAAATCCGACAACAGCAGCAACTGCGCCCCGTCCACACAGTAAAAACCTCATTACTGACTACGAAGCTGTGCGAAAAACAAGAACAGGAGCATCTTCACCTCCTCTTCCTTCTCCTCCTCCTCCTCCTCCCTCGGCTACCAACACGGAACACACACGCGCATGGAGTGAGGGGGCTAACGGCTAAGGCTAACCGCTGAGGCGAAGAAGAAGAAAAAAAAGTTCGTTGAAGTCGACGCGCAGTCGTCGGGGAAAGTTTTTAAAGTGGCAGAAAACTGAGAGTTTAGCTTAAAATCGGACGTTAACGCGTCGAAATGATGATGTCGAAAGAGAAAAGAGGAGGAGGTGAGGAGGGTGAGGTGTGGAGGGAGCAGGAGTAGAAGGAGGGGGGGGGAGGATGCAACAGGCGTCACGTCGATGCTGCTGTTGCTGAGGCCACGAAAAAGTCCCTGAAAAGAACCGAAAAGTCGTCAGACAGCGATGGAAACTCACCGATGTCGAAGATGTGACCGAGCCGTGTCGTAGTGACAACAAGTCGGCGCCGAAAGTCAGCGAACGGCGGCGAGTTTGCTCGTTAAAGTTCGCCTGGGCAAGGTCACAGTTGAGTCAAGCTAACTACAGTGAAGAAAGACGTACACCGGAAACTGTGCCAGTGACGTTTCAAAATAAAACCCGACTCTGCGCCGTCCGCTTTTTAATGGTGGTGTTAGTTTCCCCAACGATAAACGTGTTTTCTCGATTATTAGCAAGTCGTCTGTATTCACGGATGACACGACTAAACGACGGTTCAAAACCAATAAATGACCAATGTTTAATCAGGGAATCTTAATTCAAATTTTGCGAATTACATTTCAGTTTTTGTTCCTCACCAGCTGTTAGAGAATTAGAGAGTTGGATTGAAAGTAGTCGTATGTTTCAGCCTAGAGCTAAAAACTACATGATTGATGGAGATGTGAATAAAACAGGAAGTGCAAAGATTGAATGTGTCACCTTCTGATGACATAGCAAAAGTAACAAGCAGCACCACATAAGCTGTGCTTTGGAATGTAGGCAGTCAAAGAAAAATCACAACAACAGCATCTATACGTTATGTAGACACTAAAATACACGTCGACTTTACTGCCAGAAAATGTCAGTCACTTCGCAGGAACCTGCTTTACCGTTCTCATGACATCAACATGTCTCCAAAGCCTCAAAATGCCCTCTAGCCAATGACATGGATTTTTCACAAACTCACAAAAACCAAAGTGCATAAGAGAAATGGAGTTTGGACTTTGAGACACAACTTTTGACTAAAATGAGACACAGCAACAGTGTCATCCAATAACAAGCCGGCCTGACAAAGTCACAGAGAAAATGGCAACGGTTTCTGAACATTAACAACAATCTATCTATTAAAAACTGCCTTCAAGAACCTTCAAAAACCTTCAAGAAATAACTTCTATTGTTTGATTTTTGTCTTAAAATATAAATAAAATCGTCTTGAAATAAATAAATCCTGTAGATAAGAGTTTTCAGAAAATACATTTAACTCTTATCATCGTCTCTGGATCCAAGCCTCCATTTTCACCAGTGCCCACTCCCATCAACACAGCCTTATAGAGACACGTACCAACAACTGCAGCTCCACTTCTGCACGATCAGCATCAACAGGTGATTTAACTTTGGAGAAACACGCCGGAAGTCGGTCTGCTGTGCGCCGCCAGCTTGCCCCTGCTGTCTGCAGTTTTACACATGGCCACTCACAGCGAGGCTCTGGCCAAAGTGCAGCCCAGATATGGATGCTCGACTCCGGCGCAGTAGACTTTGAACCCCCGCTGCCGCCGGAGCGACACCACCCGAGCGGCGGCCCGCCAGAGAAAACACGTAGATAGTCGCGCAGAGAAGTTGGTCTAACTCACCCAGAGCGATGAAAAAGTGAGAGAATTAAGCAGAGAAACAGTGAAGTCAATGAGGAAGAAGCTGCGACTGAAATTCCAGCGCTGGGATGAAGAAGCATCAAAAGTAGGAAGAGGAGAGAGAGAGAGAGAGAGAGAAAAGTCACCCCCCGCAAACACACGAAAACGAAGCGGAACACGGACACAAACGGAGCGGGTGAGGGAAGCGGGGGGTGAGGGACAGAGATGAAGCTGAAAACACTTACGCTGGACTTTGTTGGGGTTGAGCTGTTTGCGTCGAGACATCGTGGCAACGAGCAGGAGGATGGTGATGATGATGATGAAGGTGGTGGCGAAGGAGAACGCCTGTTGAGCTGCTGCTGGTGGTGATGGTCACAGAGGGGGGGATGATGAAGGAGAAAAGGGGGGAGGATTGGAGAAAAGGGAGACAGGAGGAGAGAGAAATAGACAGAGAGACAGAGAGAGTCTGTAAACTCGCTCCGAAGAGGAGAGGAATCAAAATGGCGTTTCCGAAGGGATGTGCAAACTTGGACAAACTTTACTCCGGCTTCTCCTCCTCCTCTTCCCTCCACCCCTCCCTCCCTCCACCTCTTCCCCTCCTCCTTCCTCCTCCTCCTCCTCCTCTACTGTCTCTCTCTCTCTCCACCTCACTTCGAACCTGGAGGAAGAAAAAGTGTCGATGATGTTTGTTGTAGTTTGATTTTCCTTTTTTTAATTTTAATTTCATCTAACGCTCTCTCTCTCTTTTCGTCTCTCTCTCCCTGCCTTTCTCGCTCTCTCTCCCTCTCTCTCCCCCTCTCTCTCTAAACCTGATAAGTAAAGCTCATCACGTGTCTCATGTCTCCACGGGGACGTGGCCAACAAGCATCTCTCTCTCCCTCACGCACAACCCTAACACACACACACACACACACATCGCTGTAGACGCGCAGGCGCGTGTCTTCAGTAAAACAGTGATGGAGTTAAAAAGCACCACCACCGATCACCGATTAATCGCCATTGTTCGTTTTTAATCTCCTCAAACCAAACTTCCCTCAGTTTCACGCACGCATTTTTCACGCAGTGAAATTACACACGCACACAGACACGGGTGTAAACGCGACTTTAAAGGCAGGAAATGAACTCGTTGTGACTTTTGAAGAGTGTGTTCAGTTTTTGTTGATTTTTTTTGTTGTGTTTGTTTGGAAATAAAGCGTTTGTTTTTCAGCCGAGTGGAGTTGAAAACTGTCGTAAACCATTAAACACACTTTGACTCTCCGACTGTGAGACAAACGCACGCACGGGCAGGAGTGCATGCACGCTGCAGCCGCCGCAAAAGATCGCGAGAACTCGGGAGCAGATAAACTTCATCTCGCGTTGTTTGAAGAGACGATGGTGACAGGAGCAGCGCGGAGGAGGGGGAGGAGGAGGAGGCTGTTTCTATAGAGAGGTGTTAGTGGAGTCATGAAGTCGCTTTGATGTTAGAGGCAATAAACACACACACAAAACCTGTTCTGCGCATGACTGTTGCATTCGAACCTGTGTCGTTTTTATCAAGTTATGATTGAATCTAAAGTTTTTTTTTAAATTAAAAAAAAAAGTAATTAAACTACTCAATGAAGATTAATTCTGAACGTAGATCGACCTGTTGCCACCTTAAGACGTTTAAGCCACACCTAAAACCGAAGCGAAATGTCCACCTTAAAACTTAAAATAAAGTGATCTAATCTCGTTTCACAGCCGGCGACACGGTCGTGCTGTTCCCCATATAAACAAGTGATGTATCTCATCTTTAGTTCCTTCCAAAAACTAAATATAAAGTGATGCAAATGCTGCTCAGATGTGAGACGTGTACGTCCACTTTGAAACCAAGCAAGTCCACCTTAAAACTGCAGCCTGAGACGTCGACAGATGGAAAACAACGAAGAAAACACTAATAAAAAATACAGGACAAAACACGGTGCAGTCGTGTTATGTGTGTGCAGCAGAGGTAAGGATGTGTGTGTGTGTGAGTGTGTGTGTCCTCTGCACTCAGACTAAACTCAGCGACTGAAGCTGAGCCTAATTTTAAACTTTCTGTCGTTGTTAAATTTAGTTCTAGACACTTTCTTCTGCGGCTCCTGAATCTGCTGCTGCCACA